CAGGACGGGGCCCTTGGCCTGGTCGTGCTTCCCGTGCCGTGAGGAGAGGTGGGAAGATGCTGGTGTGTCGATGAAAGGGCGTGTACAGAGGAAGGCCTAGAGGAAGCGGGTCAGCCTGCGGGGTGGTGTGAAGGCAGGCTGGTCATACGGGCCATGGGAAGGGCCCTAGGTTAGAGATAGCTGTAGATTATAATTTTGAACTAAATCAAGCTGACCAACTCAGACGCTTAGCCGCTGAATCACAGCACATTATCAGTTACAGGGTAGCGAGAGCAGTAGGATTATCCAGAACAGTTTCTCGCAGAAATTTGTGAAGGAATTGCACATAGAAGTGAAAAGCTTTCAAATATAAAACACGGTACACCTTGTGGCTCTGAGCGTCTGAGGAAGATGAAGAATTTCAGACGTCCGCATTCAGCGTAGGAATCTTTTATACAAAGAAAATTGTTAAAAGTGACTGAACTAAAAATGAAAATAAAAAGTTTGGCATTGAAATGCTGTCATATGGCTAATAAGATAAATTTCTAGGCATCCGTAATGGAGAATTTTGGTGGATCTGGTAAATGGCAGTGGAAGGAAAGACGAACAGTGAATGTTCATGACAAGATAGCAGAAGCAGCTTCGATTTTTTTTTGAACAGGAAAAGATAGATGGTACCTACCTAACCCAAAAGGACAGTAGAAAGGGAAAAGAAGAAAAAACTAACTGAATATGATACAAGATTGCTGCAAGTCAGACCCATTTCTTCTTGATGCCTACAGTTTGTCTAGCCCAGTTTGCTTTCCTTGTTAAATAAGCACATTTTTATGAACAAATAAAAGGGACAAGAGCTCTTGTCTGCTTATAGTGTGCTATCTGTGGCTACTGTTGAATTTTTTTTGACACGCAGCACAATAATCTGTGACTTTGATTTGATAGTTAAAGGAAAGTAAGAATTGAAAAGATTCCTCAGTCAGCCGGCCAAGTACGCCTCTCTTCAGTCTACAGTTTCACCTGGGCAGAACATTTGTAAAGAAAAGGTGAGAAAGTACTTGTTAAGAGGTGAAAAATAACCTGTTTGATTTCCCTCTGGTTTTCACCACTTCATGCATTTGTCTCTACTTTTTTAATAACATGGTTTTGTTGGTAGTGTCAAAATGCATTTAGTGTTGATAACATTAAAACAAATTCTACATTTGTGTAGCTTATTGATATATTTAGTATGGTGTTCAAGCATGTTTACTGATACTCACTTGCCATGCTAATAGTTCTGAATTGTTATATGTGTTTTCAAAGCCAGCAATGTATTGCTTGCTTTGTTTTATTGGTTTTTTTTTTACTTTGCTATTTGCCTAACAGGCCTGTTGTGATAGCCAAAGATTTTGCCTGTGTACACTTTTTAATATATTGTTACTGATTTAATAGGATTGTTTATACCACATCATACTAACCAGGGGGCTTTAAATAGTTGGCTCTTATCCAACTCTTTTAATTAGCAACAGATTCATAAGCTTTGTAATGAGGACATATATTCATTGGAAAGTAGGTTGAGGCAACGAAACTTGTTTTTATGTCAGATGTGTGCAAGTATTAGGTGGCAGTAGCTCAGCTGGTCTGAATTTAATTAGCAGCACTTGAAGAATTCTTTGCCATATTATCAGGCTTCAGTGTTATATTTTTAAATTCAGCTTAAAAGTGACCTAAAATCAGGGTGAGATGTCATTGTGAATATTTCTTTTTCCTATGCCTATATGGAGTCCACATGGACACTAGTGGAAGTTTGAGTAGTTTATGAACAAAAGACTAAGCTCTTTACATTTGAAGAGGTGCAATTTGTGAATAATGCAGAAGATATTAATGTACTGGAAGACAGCTAATGAAATCAGTGTCAGGAAGTCCTGCATGAAGAAAGTAGCCTTGAACAGGTAAGAGTGGACTGCCTGCAGAATGGCATGTGTTAACAAGAAGCAGCTATTAAACTGCACACTTTTTTTTTGTTAAAGCACCAGGTTTCATGATCATAGAACAGTGTAACTGGGTTTATGCCAGTTGTTTTAAACTTCAAACAGAAGCTGTGTGTCTCATGAGCAGTTGAGCCCCTGTTAAACAATGGCAACTTCTGTGGGTGGAGTAAGTTTGTCACTAGAGGACAGCTCAGGATGTACTTGTGCTGTCATTGGGGTCAGGGAGATGACTTCAGAAATTGTGAGGTCAGGCCGTTATATGGATGAAATAACATTAATGAATAAGGGCAACATTTTTTTCTAGTTACCTAGTATACCAGGCAATGTTTACTATAGATACATAGTAATTTTTCTCATCTACAATAATATGGAGGTTGTATTGCAAGGCAAATCCAGGTATGTGTTCTGTACTATGCTGGATGATGCTTCTATCATTGGGGAAAAAACCCTCAAGTTATGCTAGAGGAGGTAATACCCCAAGAAGTACTCTAGGTCAGAGAATAAGCCAAACACCCCCTGGTTAAAAAAAAATAAAATTGTCTGTGAGTAAGATTATTCCATTATTGTTTACTGTAGAGAGTGCAATCCCTTCCATGTGTTTGTATAGTAATTTTTATATGCCTGTGCAAGCTCTTCCTGCATGAGGAAGTCTGCCTAAGCAGTTTTAAAGGTATATGTATGAAGCTAAGTTTGTTACATATTTGCTTGTTATTTATCTTCAAGTTTCAGCTTATCTTTTAGCTTGTAAACTTTGCATGCCAGATGCTGTCTTCTGTTCATTCTTGTATGCCACTCAGAACAAAGGACTTTAGATCTAGTCAGGGTTACTGCATTTACCAGAAGAAAAGTAATTTTTGTGGCAGGAGGACACTCACCTTGCTTGTTATGATAAAGATTCTTAGGGAATTTGTGTCTTTCTAATTGTAGATGAGAGCTTAGAAAACACTTGGTTGCACTGCTACAGGTTTTCTTATCTACAACTTTTACTTTGTATTTCTCTTACTTCTTTCCTTTTAAGGTATACACATTAAAACTCACAAAATACGCATGGGTAAATGCCATTTTATTACTCTCTCTGATGTAGTACTATCATTTACTTTGGTAAATTTACATCCCTGTTTAAAGTGCCTTAAAGCAATTAAAACTTAGTTTAAATTCAAGTATTGTAAAATGTACAGAGTATAAGCACACAAAAAAAGCTGCATAGTGAAAATACTGGAGCAGGCTAATACATTCAGGATGCCAAATACTTGAGTATTAACAACACCAGATCAGTATTAAAGTTAATGATAATTAGCCAACTTCATACAGTAGATACAGAACTGTGGGCGATATAAATGCATTGTTCTTACCATTAACAAAAGATAGAAGCGTAACTTAACACTGAAAGAATTTGTAGTATCAGTTTCTGTAACACATGCCGTAAGTAATAAGGCAAATACTGACACCTGAATTAACCTTGTACATGCTGCTGTGAATCCAGCAAATACGGTATGTGGTTTTTCTAGATTCTGAGCCCCTGCAATCCCAGTGCTTTTGGTGAGAGTTTGTGACATCCATGCCTCTTAAAAATCCTCATGAACAGTCATTCTTAATACAATTTTGTTTGAATTTTTGTTTGAAATTTGTCTCCTAATGTTATGAATAGGTATGTCTGAGGTTTTATTTCTGTTTTTTCTGTGTACAAATGCAAGATCATCTACTGTACTTTGTCTTTGCCCATAGCTATTTTCAGTAGCAGTGGGGGATACTTAACAGGCATGGTAGAATATTACTTTGGATACGTAGCCCTTATTTTGTCCATTTCATTTGAAGGAGTAATAGTGGTACCCTGGCATGACAGTGACTTGTTATATGTACTAGATCAAAAGCATTATTTACCTATAATATTTGTCTCATGAGGAATTTGTGAAGATATTTTAATTCGTACTGTTGTAATAAACAAAATTAAATACCAGCATTAAAATGGTTGGCTGACTCCTTACATTGGAACAATTGAAGAGTAAAATTTTACTTGCTATGGCTAAGAAAGTTGTAGTACAGATATGTGTGGACACATAAGAGAATGATTTTCAGTGGAAATTACCACTTCAAAATCAGTCGCACAGTATGGCTAAAATATTATTGATTTGTAACAACACTTTTCCAAATGTGTGTATAATTATGTAAGGGAAAGACATTTTTGGTCAGTTGTTGCCTAAAAAAATTAATTAAAAAATACCAGCCACTTTTAGAAGAAAATTCTTTGTTAATTTTTTAATGTATTTTAAGAGCATCTTCATACGTAGTTTTTGCTGTTAGAAACTGTTATTTTAAAATATATTTCAAGAAGTATGACAGTTGTGATTTAAGTTATTACAAGGATTCATCAGTCATTATGTGTATGCAATATTGAATAATTAAGAGAATGAAATACGCATTTCGCATTTCCAGAAAGAGAAAACAAGTTCTCTTTTACAAAGGCAGAATATGTCAAAGTATAAAGTTACAGTTTAATTTTTGTAATATTTGGTGAAATTCTACAAAACAACAACAATAATGAGAAAATTGAAGGGCTGCACCCAGAGTATAAAACTAGTAGAAGCTAGGTTTCTTGGAATCTTAACTCCCTTGCGCTTCTCCCTTTCTTTTAAAAACTTGTATGTTTTTAGAATACTAATCAAAGTACTTAATAAGATTTTGTAGTTGTAGCAAGATAGGAGGCTGTGTAAGTCCATCTGCAGTTTATTTCCAGAGCACGTTGGAGATGAACTTTGGGTTAATTTGCTGTAGGTTAAGATTTGATAGAAGGAATACTGCAAGATCTCCTCATTACCAGCCTGACTTCAATGTCGGGAAGAGTTTTCTTTTTAGTGTGTAAACATCCTTCATCCGTTGCTGCTAGGTGGAGATCAAAGCGCAATGAAACTGATTTTTTCCTTAAGCGAGGGTTGTCCTTAAAGAAAGAGCCTTCCCATTCTTTAATAACTTCATCCACTTTTTCTGTCCTGAAACAATAAAGCAAATGTATTTATGATCCTTCAGGCAGTAAGAAGTATCTCTCTTCAGGACTGCTTTTGAAATGTAGAGAGAAATTGCGTAATAAAGTGTCAAGTTATTTTAAAGGGGTACTAAGACACTAGAATTCTCTCCTCTTCCACAGGTTCATGCCCCAGAAAAGCTAAATAAAGGGTGACGGTTCATTATATTCTTGGTTTTGTACTTTCAAGTAGACATGGATACAAAACCACTGCTCCAAACACAGCAGGCAGTTTGTTTCCAAGGAGAAAGTTTGGAATCCAAGCTCAAAAACTTCACAAGAAACCTCTGTACTATAGTGGGCAGGACAGAATTCTTGCATCTGAAAGCCTTCAAAATAGCGAGGAGAAAAACCTAGTTCAGATCCAAACCTCAGAATGTCAATCTACATTACATTAAAAAAGAAAAAAAGGGCAGAAGTAAAATATAGAGAATTAAAACCCTAGCTGATTTAGTAATATTTAGGTACCCAAATCCTATTGATTTAATCCTCTGAGTCAGGATCCAGACATGAAAGTCTGACCTGAGCTTTACTCAGGTAAACTTTACCCAGTCAAGCAGCCCCATTCAAATCTGACAGACTGTCTAAGATGAACAAAGCTCATGTATGAAAATAGGCTTCAGATATGGAATGTGTATGGTGGACCATATGATAGCATTAATTTTTAATAGAATTTCTACATGTTTTCAACAGCTGATTACAGTTAAGCATTAGTGACATGGTATACAACAGTTTATTTTAAATGTAATGTTAAATACTAGTTTACAAAAGAGCTTGAAGAGCAGCAGAAGAAAAATATGAGGCAATCCAATACTATTAATTTAAGGTGAATAATATGTACTAACAGACTTTCGCATGCCCACTTAGGAGCCAAGCTTTCTGTTCCCTGTTTGGTAATTTAAAAATGAAGGAATTTCCAAATAGCAAGTTAGAGCAGCCAAGCCTGAATTTATGTGCATAAATATGCCCCAGAGGGACTTCTCAAACATGGTATGGGCTCTTCTGCTTTCAGCCTTAATGAAATGAATTATTCATAGTTTCATTCTTAACAGAAATAGAAATTACAAATCAGAAGCATCATCATGGTATTGTTAGCCTACAAAGTAAATGCTAATAAAAATAGCTTTAAAATTTAATGTATTGTTAAAACATGTCATTCAATGTAACTTGAAGAACTATGCTGTTATTCTGGAGCTTCTTGGCTGTACGGGTATGATATAACAGATACTAAATAAAGAAAAGCTCAAAGCTACTGAAATGTAATGCCCGTCATTTACTTCCAATTGTTATTTTCTTAAATTGATGTTTATCTTACTGTACAGTGCCGTGAGCTTCAGCGCTTTCCTTCATAACATTTCCATCTAGAATTGCTTGTTTTGTCATCAGTTCCACCTTCTCAACTTCATGCTTCTTTACACCATCTGTAAAAGAAAATGCAGATATACTAGGTGTGCAGAAGAGTAAGGTCAGGACACAGGACCTAGAGGTGTTTTTCCTGCTGCTGCATTGGAAGAAGATCCTTTTGTCATATCCAGTAATTTGTCAGTAGTTAGGAACCTCCTTTAGGGCCACAATTCCTTACGGGGAAAGTGTCTGAAAACTCACTTGAAGGCAGTGTAAATGCAATCTTGCTAGTGGTAGGCTTTTGTTCGTCTTTCTGGTCAGGTACAGAGCAACGAAACCTGCAAAGATAAAAATTATTAGTCATCTAATAATACTGAATTACTTTAATCCAAAACTTGTCTTAAGAACAGCTATGAAAAATTTAAAAATATGAGAACCATGAGAAGTTCTGTTTGATTGTAGTAACTATTTGTTAGGATTTCTCATTCTGTATATAGAAATGAAGAAAGTTACTGAAAATGTCTGTGCAATTTCATCATTATGACAGGTTTTAGTCAGTTTGATGTGTACCAGGAAGACCTATTTAATTTTCTTAATACTGAATTGTGTGTATTTTCACAGAGTTAGAAGCATGAAATCTGAAACAGACTCCTGTCTGGAATCTTCTCACACAAATGTGTGAGGTTCCTGGACTGAAACCCGCCATTTTCTGTAGAAAGGGACGCAATGTTCCACTGAAAGACTTCAGAATCGCATGCCTCGTTTTGTTAAGATACCAGGGCTGAGTGCAACTTGTGGTATTTTGCCCTTTCCTTACCCTCCTTGTTGTTTACATTTGTATAGCTGCCCTCTCATGTCTACATTTCAAAATCCCGGTGTTTGTGTACTGGGGAAGGGGCAGACGTGAAGAGTTACAACCAAAGTCAAATGCCACTGGAAGGCTTGTTCTTGGATAGCACCCTCATGTGTCCCTTAACACTGTGGATGACATGGAGTACTGTGAACTCCACATGCAAATGGACATCCGTCATCTGATGAGACGAGAACTCCTCTCCCAGAACTTCACGTGTGCGGCCTTGCTTCATCAGCGGTCTGAGACAAACAGAACCCATGGCAAGCAGCTAAGGGGTTACAAAGTCTGCGTCGACATACAGTGCCTTGAGTGAAGATGCAGTAAGTGTGCTATTATCTGCAATGCATCGTGGAGATACTCAACTCCAGAAAGTGCAGGGTCAGTGAAGTTATGTTACAATGAGACCGCTTCTAAGCATTTTATACTGTAATTTTTTAATGATTGGTTCATGTATTTACAATTCTGATGACTACTTTGATGAGAAGTTCTGAAATGGAAGATAAATTTGAGTACTTTTTCCTCTAACAATAAGTACCTGTTCTCTTCCTGCTCAAGCAGACTGCGATATGTTGCTATCTCCTCCTCCAGTTTCATCCTGGTGTTCAGGAGAATTTCGTGCTCTTGAAGCTGTTTCTCAATACCTCTTCTCACTTCCAGTAGCTCTTTCTCTAAGCATTCAATCTCAGCTTCTAAATGTTGTAGTTGCATGTGGTACTGCTGCTCTGTGGCACGCAACGAACATTCCAAACCCTTTTCCTGTGAAATTTAACTCATATTTTAGGATTTGGAAAGTATAGGTATAAAGATACTATATGTACTTTTCATTATCAATCTGTGTATTTTTATATCAGTTATTTTAAGAATATTATTTAGAAACAGGAGTAAATCTTTCAAGATAATACTTCTGATGAGAAATTTTCCAGTAAAATCTGTAATAATTTAAGGTAAGATAAAAAATGTAGCCTTCTGTTGTACTGGCAATCCACTACCATTGGTTTTACAGGTCTCTGATTTTACCTGCATGGTTAAAACGATATCCAGCTCAGTCCTGTATGAAAATTGAGTGGCCTTGGCCTGTGTGCTCTTGTAGCTGATCTATATTACTGAATTCAGTAAATTGCTGTCATATTTTATCATGAATGTATTGATAAATTTGTTCCACACATTCAAAAAAAGTTATAAACCTGATGTGAATTGGTTAGGCAGAATGACCAGGAACTTGATGAGGGAGTAATCATGCAAATTCATGCTTGGCAGGTGTGAAAACATGAAAACACATGTATATTGAATGGCAGATCCTGAATCAAAATGTGATACTCTTAAATGGGAGCAAATGACTGGGTTATTGCTTGTTGGTTAGGGCTCTGTGTGATGAGCTGAAAGTGCACCGCAAAGCTAGCATTTCTGTGTGCGGGTTGCATCTCTGCTGTACAGTGCATGTGATTGTTACTTGAACTGAGTTGTGGAATAGTTTACATCAGGAAAAAGATTTGGTTTTTTCCAGGAGATTTCAAGTTTCATTTTATGATGCTTACCACAGCGTGGAGAGACTCAATTTCTGTCTGCATATGGTGCCACTGCCGTCTCGCTTCACAGAGTTCTGCTCTGGCTGCCTTTAATGCTTCTGCATCTTTGTCCATTCTTTTAATTGTAGCTTCTTCTAACTACAGGGGATATAAAAAAGATAACAATATTTTAAAATATATTCAAATAATGAAAATAAAATAGATATATAAAAATAGCTAGTTGGAATTTTTTGAGTCATATAAATTTGTTAAAGCTAACAGTGATAAGCTAGTATTTTATGCACTGTGTAGATGGGAAGCCATTATCCTGCTGTGTTTGATGGGAAGTAGTTGGCCACCTCTTTATTCCCAACGTATTTGTTGTAGAGGAATTCCCATTCAAATTAACCAGTTGTCTTGAGACCTTATTCACTTCTAGAGTAAATGGGCTTAACTTCATGGCAGTTAGAGGAATTGCACTCATTTCAAGCTTCCATGTTTGAATGAGGTTCTTTGTTTTTAATGCATTTTTGATTTCTCAGAACAGCTTTATAGAGAGGAAGCACTTTTGAGTGGTTCCATGAATGTATCACAATTGACAATTGTAATTATGGTTTTGCCTGATCTAGTCATTGACTAGATTTCAGATTGTTATTTGAGAGCAAGTACCTCCGTTCATTTAAATATTAATAGCATCTTTATAAAAATCTACAACTTTTCCTTGTCCTCTAAGAACAGTTTATTTAAGATTTACCTATCACAGGAAGGAAAAATTTGCCATGATCTCCCGAGTGTATGCTGTCACCCATGTTAAATGTGATGATTCACAAGTGAAGTGCCTGTTCTAAGCCTAATCCTGATCTAAAAATATTATTTGAGATAATTTACCATCCTTAAGGCTGAAGTTTATTCTTAGGAAAAAAGTAAATAGTCAAACAAGCACTGTATTGTGCTTGCAAGAAAATTTTGGTTTTTTCTTTTTTTTTTATCCTATTAAAAGTAGGTTTTTTAAGCCAACCCTGAGTATGTGTGGGGTCATTTTAGATTTGAGCTCATCTTTGATTTTGATAATATGTTAATGCATTTAACTTCCAGAATGATTGTTTTGCTTATGAAAGTTATTTTTCCTTTTTGATTCTGAGTTTTACTTCAAGTGGTGAAGATGCCATAAACATTTGAAACCATACATCTTCGTTTGCGTATTTTACTGCTTTATGTAGGTTCTTACGATTGCCATCAACTCTAAGGAAATAAACTCTTTAATTCAGGTCTTAGGAAGCAAGTAAAATAAGTTTCTTTTTTTTCCCCCTGTAACATACTGACCTACTGTAATTTTACCGTGCCATCATTTTGGTGAAAAATCTGGATTTGGCTAATCCATAAGTGAATACTCAATATTCTTTGCTTATCCTTTTTTGCCTGGGTACTGCAGAATTTATGTGACAAGATCATATCAATACACATGGCTGCTTTGTGCCAAACACAAATATAAACTTGGTTTAACTATCTAGTTTGTAGCTGCTGTGTGTCATTGGATTACTGGGGAGATCAGCCAGATCACAGCAGTAGTCTGGCCTGTGGTTAAAAACCCTCCAGAATTTCTGCAATACCCAAGAAATACAACAGGGTGATACAATACCTAATTTTCACCCTGAATTTCTTGGCATTTGATGGCTGAAAATTATTTTGCCATTTTATTTCAGAGTTCAGTTGGGTTCTAGAGATGGTTTGTATGTAAATCCATAATAGAGGCATTGTATGTTGGTAACATTTAATCAATCTGTATGAAAGGACAATTTATATTTGCTGAAGAGCATGACACAGTTTTACTGTGAACAATATAAAACAGTTCCTGAAAAGGCACCGTTTCCTTTAATATATGCTGAAAATGGTAAAGCTTTCTGTATATAAATGGATTCTTTACATTGCCTTTGATTTTCAAGATTTTTTTCCACTGGTATAACTAAATGGTGCTAGAGGTTACCATGTCACAGCATAGGTCATGGTTTTTTAAATCACAACGATACCACTACTGCAGGTACAGAAAAACATCCAGATGAGTTACGCAGCGTTCTTTTAGAGTGAATTCCATACCCTAAACAAAAGCCATTTCCGTTATCTGCTAGTTTACCGCTTGCTGCAGTAAACTCAAAAGCCCTTCCCCAGTAATAAGCTGCATCGGCACGGGAATACTGTACCTCGTAGAGGCGGGGGGAGGGATTGCACGGACAGGGCTCGTCTTCCTCTGGAAGGCGTCTGCCTGTC